TAATTACTACGCGAGGATGGAAAAGCACATTAAAATGATTGGTATAAGGATAATTCTACTGTGCCGATCGTTAGTCAGGTATATGAATAAACAAGGATGTACTGTTAAAATAAATAACATTTTAAAACGGCATTGATGTTTCAGGTTATCACAATATTTGGGTCTGACGCCTTACGAGTGTTCATGAATACACAGTTACTGTTGTACATTGTGTCAATGCCGTTATACCTTGTGATCGGCATTGCCTTCCTGTACTACCTGATAGGATTTTGGTGCTTTTTATCATGCGCGGTATTCCTGGTCTTCTATTTCATACAGGTAAATGAGGTCTATTTTTTTTTAGAATTAGTCATTATTCTTTATATTGAAATTTTTTGTAACATGTAGCAAAATATGCCAATCTGGAGAGTCTGCCGTTCGTCAGTTCATCCATGGGGGATATACTGTTATCTGAAAGAGAGTTACCGGTATATATAAGGGTTCTGTACAACAAACAAAAGGGACTAATTTGGATGATTTCAATTTCCCTATTGTAAATTTTCCATATCTTGATAGCAATATTCCTGCATCTCCAATCTGAGGTATTTAAAGGTCACAGTTGAATCAATATTCAAGGGCCTGTTCCTATTATCGCGATTTTCGTACGAAAGTCGTCAAGTCACGGACAAACTCGTAACACAAGGGTGTAAAAGATGCAGGTTGATGAAAATTATGGGGGCGTTTTTATGGTCGCCATAGTGATTGCATTGAGAAATATTCTATCTCTTTGTGTGACATGAAGCTGGACGAGTTTGATGCTCGTTAGTTTGACTGTTGGTACAATTGTTGTACACATTGCTCTCATTTGAGAACGTGACATTACTTACTTCGATTGACCAAGGTTTACATAGCAGGTGTCGTCGATGAAGCAGGATATACTTTTACTTCCGCAACACATAGTCTTATTCCCCTTATACTTTTTTCAAATTTGCCATAGTTTTATGGAATTTGAGTTTGAATTATGATTATGTTGCCATGTTGGTATTTTGTAAAATGTAATTAATGAAAAATACAAGGAATAGGAAACGAATACCCACACACTGCACACGAATCCACAAGAACATGTGGGGAATTAGGTTTACCGAAAGATTACATCTCAGATACGACTGATGAAGTAAATCGTATGCTTCCCTTTGAATAGGCAAACATTAAATGTGACATTCATACTGTTATATAACTAATAGCGTCCGAAAAAAACTTGGCACTACAATATTGATGATCAGAAAGCAAATTACTTATGAACGCCAACCAGAAAATGCTCCTGAATGCCCACGATCGTGAATGTATATTGATATGGCAAAGAACTTGCTTGGAAAAATTAATTTCAGAACAAAACAAAATCAGAAATGACATTATCTGATAATTCTGAAAGTTCTTTTTTAGCGGTAAACTACAATGGTAGAGAAACAAATGGAACAGTTTTAACCAAAGTTATGTTGTTTTTTTAAGACCATTCTAATTGAAATAATGTCTGTTCTTCGACGACGAACGCTGGATTGGACAGATGTAAGGGTATGTACTGGCAATAGTAGTATACATATTCAATATTTGATCTGTAATGCAAAAAAGAAAAGTGAAAATCTATATACCAAGAGACTTTTTACTTTGCAATAATGTTAACATTTATTTATATCTCTGCAGATAAATGGCTGTTTAGCGATGGATATTGTTATCATTTTTTGCTTATTTCCTGTCATAATTTGATGTATATAATTTATCACGTGAACATGTACTAAAGTTAATAAGGCTTTTCAATTAGTGATTAGAGTGAAACATAATATGGAGGATTGTTATTAAGGACATTCAATCTTTGTATAGGTAAGGATGGTCCTCAGTTTGATGACGAATGAGTAATATGTTCGACATCGCCTTCGTAGTCTTGTTCAGATGTATTGTGGGAACCAGTTCATTTCAAACAACTTTTAAATGAAATAATATCATAAGAAACGGAGTTGATTCTTTTCCCTTACTTTCCAAAGTAGATACAAGATACCCATTGCATTATAGTTTACTAATTTACTTCTTATTTTCTTTTGCCAGATACGGAAGATGACAGAAGTTCTTGCAAGCATTAAATTGATAAAAATGTATGCGTGGGAGGAATATTTTAAGAAATCTTTAATTGGTAAATTACATGTAATAGTTATTCAAATATAATGTAATAGAAATATATCGTTTGTTCTCCTATAAATATAGATTATCTGTATATATGATAAGAACACGATATGTAAAACGAATAGCAACAAAAATTGAAAGAAAAAATTAACTTAGAATAACAACTTTTTTTCGTTTGATATTTTGCAATGAAAATTATAGCATTAAATACTTAAATTTACTTCTATGAACAGACATCAGGAAGACAGAAACAAAACCCCTCTTAAAAGCGACAATATTGAATTTTATTTTCAATGCTATCATGCCTATTACCCCTTCGCTTGCGGCGGTAGTCACCATAGCCTTGTTTGTTAACGCGGGAAACGAATTGACTGTGTCAACGGTAAGTCTCTTTTTGGATATTCTGATTAATGATAATTAATTTTTTAATCACCGTAGAGTTTTTGGTAGGTTTCTAGAAAATATATTTCTACCTCTACTTTCATAAATTTTACGAACATTCTTGATCACAAGAAATAAAAAGTATGGCTGCCCCCTAGGACTTTAGTAATTTAAAAGTGGTATACCAAGTTAGCTTCATTGCAGAACCAAACTATCATTGTTGCAAAATTAGTAAGAAATACAACATTTGTCTGCTATTGAACGTATTTACAGTCGACAAACACATACGTGTATGTTTGGCAGACTTACAGTAGTTATTGCAACTTGAGTACACAATTACTTAACAATTTACTTAAAGGGCTTTTCGATTGTTGCCACCCTGGGTTTCATGCGGAATGGATTGTTTTATGGGCCATACGCCGCTCGGGTATTTGGAGAAACCATGATTAGTTTTGAAAGAATAAAGGTATGGACTGGAATGTGTTTCTCTCTCACAATCGGGATAATTCACTTCCTCGCAATCGTATACAAACTCGTTTCACGATGATAAAGCGAAAAGCATGCTATCAATTGATATTTTGATTCACAGTATGTAGAGGAACTGACATTTCACAGTCTCTACGTATCCGATTACAATGAAGAAAAGACCGACATGTCAACATGATTTTAATTAAAACTCAAGTGAAGATTTAAAAAAAAATAAAATTGGGGTTCCTGCTGAAGTGCAAGGTAAATAAGACCTGGTGATCCGGAAGAGTATGTGTCGTCTTCGTCATCGCCAACACGCGCTGTTTATTTCTTTGTCAATTCAAGTATGTAATGTCACGTTTCCAAATGAGAACAAGGTAAACAATACGAAATCACCAGATGAAAAACATTTCAATAATAAACCCCATATACTTTCCGATAACTGCGAAATTGTCATTCAAATTACTAATGATATTCAGACAACTGAATATCCGTGATAAATCCATGTGGTCAGGCAAGAATTTTTTTTATCATCCGAGAATTCAACTCCATTCACCTACTTGAATGGTGAGTGCAGTCCGATTTAGCTACCCAACCACCATTTATTAACATCTCTGTTACCATATTAACATGACTTCAAATCTGAGAGAAAATACACTGGAAAGCTTCTTTTTATTCAATTCAAAGTGATGGAAACAAGTTTAAATCATGATAAGAGGGTGCATCATAATCCAATAAATTGCCATATATCTGAAAATTTTATAACAACGTCAAGTATATGTGAATATTCTGAAATATGCCATTCTTATTAAGTATGGAAAAATATCTATTTTAAACAGTTTAAAACCACTTAACGAAAGGGTGAGACAAAATAAATAGAAATATTTATCGCTATCAAATCAATGTGACAGATTTCATCTATCATCACAGAGATTCTTGTTGGAAAAAGAATTTTCACCACCCGGTAATGATGTCAAAAATTCGAAGAGTGCAATAGAGCTGCGTGACACGGCGTTCATGTGGGATGAAAATAGCGATGACAACGGCAACCATGTGTCTAAAGGTAGGGAATGTGAACGTCCAAAAGGAAGCAAAATAAAAAAAAATATGGGTAAAATTTATCATAAACAAAAAATTATTAGATATCAAAACATAATGGTAAAAAAATGAAACGAAAGCATTAGTTTTTTCCTAAATGAAGGAAAGGGAAGAAGCTCGTGGAGCTCGTTATCGCTTCCTGTAACATATTAACATACAGTTATAATATCTTCTTCACTTTTATTGCATAAAGCGAAAGAAAGTCAGTGAACATAATCTTACTTAAGCTAACCTAACAGTCTGTTCATGTTTGATTGAATACAAACGTTTTTGAAATTTGGTTTACATGGTAAGTTACTAACCATAATGAATAAAAAAAGTGATGACAATAATAATTTCCAAAATACATTTAGATATATACATGCATTGTGATTAAAAAGATTTTATGTTTCATTTTATATTTAGAAAGTAAACGTAAAATCACATTGGCATCGCTTGTACTGCGTGATATCAATATCAGAGTCAATAAGGTGAGTAAAAGAACCTTAAAATACGCAAAATGATATGATATACTGTCACCAAACATTGTTTACCAAGCTCACACATTGATACAATATCTTGTAATCTCAAGTATTCCAATTATATATCACACCCAGATATAACAATATTGTAGATTTTCTTTAGGTATTTTAACCTGCATATCATGATGACCTATATTAAGATATAACTATAGAACATAAACGTAATTTTTACAAATCAAAAGGCTAATATAAGTAGTAATACAAGTAACATGCAGTAAGATCCCCCTATGTCTGTACGTTACTGTTGTTCTGTTTGTTTAATATGAATATCTTGCGAGTTCCTGCTGTCAGCAATCAGGGTTTTTTCTGTGATGTCCTTTACAAGGGGAAACATATCGGTGTGTGTGGCACAGTGGGCAGTGGAAAATCGTCTTTATTACAAGCAGTAATTGGAAGGGTAAGTGTTATTGTTAGAGGCATGGCACAAGATATATATTTAATTAAACAAAATGAGACAAATGTGATAGAAAATATGACAGAAAAGATATTGAAGTATTTGTTAATATCTACAATTGTAATAACTCAAAACTTATCATTTTTGCATTACTATTAGCATTTAACATACTATCCTCGAAATACAAATCAAAGCCCTCAATGTAAATATGTTTAATCTGCATCGACGTCTAAAATGATGTGTTGTTTTAATCCAAGATGTCACTGTTTTCTGGTCATATTGCTGTTGATGGAACAGTGGCATATGTAGCACAGCAAGCTTGGATATTTCACGGGACATTGAGAGAAAACATCCTCTTCGGAAAGCCTTATAAACAAGAGTGGTAAACTATAGAAAAACCTTACCTCCTCATTCCATATGTACGCTATTCTACAATAACCGCAACGCATTATGTAAAATCCATCAATTCATTACAAAATCTGTCGAATTTGGTCGGTCTGTCCTATGTAAAATAAGCGGATTTCATTAAGGTTAGAGAACATTATTTTACTGACTCTTGTTTATACACAGCTACAACACTTTCACAAAAGGCTGTCTTATTGTTCCACTACTTTTTGTTTACTTATTTTAAAGCTCTGGTATATATCATATTAATCAACGTAAGTCGAATCAAGCAATGGTAATTGGGTGGCATTAATTAATAATGAAATAAATTAAATGATATTTTTCCATCAGGTATTCTGAAGTTCTACATGCATGTGGTTTGGAACCTGATCTCCGAAAATTGGCTAATGGTGACTTAACTGAGGTACCAATGTGCTCACCTTTTTTTTTTTTTTTTTTTTTTACATATGTAAAGGAAATAGACTTTTTCATTCGTGCGTAGAATATAGAGAAACCTACATGAGTTTTCGTTTTTTAGTAGCTTACTTAAACACGTGTAACGTGTAAGAATATCATATCAAATGGCAATAAAAACAGCATTACTAATGAGATCAGGCTGATACAAAAATCTAAATTAGCTACATTCGCACTCAATTTCTCTTCATTTGGTGATATAACAGAGCATATGACGACATGAAAATATGTTGTTTTTATTCAAACACAATGAAACAGTTCTGGCAGTTGTCATTTTACGTGATGATAAAACACCACTAATGTAATACCAAACAAAACATACGTACACGCCTTCTGTACATGCAAATTAACTCTTCAACCAGATTTTACAATGGGTAAATGTTCTAGTCAAATATATGTAATGTGGATATATGTACATTATGTACTCAATAACAAAGCAACTGGTAGATATATCAATTAGGAGAATTGACTTGCCTCCAATTCAGTACTGTTATAAATATGTATTTTTCAAAAAATATAAATAATAAGTTTTTTACTATTACTATAGTGCTTAACATCACCTGTCACCATAGTCTACCTGACTTTACTTGACTAACCGTCTATCATCGAGAATGCTCGGAGGGAGGAAAATGTTGTGTTTAGGAAATTCTTCGACCTTACCAGAAAACCAACATTGCATCGCTAACGAGTCCTGAATGGGCGAATTATATATTCAGTAAAATCAAAAATTTGGCCACGGTTAAACTAATTCTAAATATGACGACTACATGTCGCAGCTGACATGATATATGGCGGTAACTTCGTAACACACAAACTTGCAATACTAATTTTCGAGAGATGACATTTTACGGTCATCATAAGTCTTTCATTGAAAAATTGTAAATACACCAACTAGGAGAATTGGCTTGCCTCTAATTCATTACTGCTGCCATTTTAATAATGGTTGTAACAGTTCAGTTATTCGCAGATGGTATCTCTAGCAGTAAACAATAAAAACACTTCACATTAGTAAATAACATACCTCGCATAATATTTATTGAATCATACATATTCTGACATTAAACAAGAATGTGTGTGATAATAAATTAATATGTATTTTATTGAAGTATGCATATAAGTTTTTTTTAACTATTATTATAGTACTTAACACCATCTGTCACCATAGTCTGTTTGACTCTACAGTACTAATAACCCATTCATGGAGAATGCCCGGTTAGATGAACATATCAATCTGAAAAAAGACAACATTGCATCGCTAACGAGTCCTGGATGGAGGAGATATTATTAAGTCTAATTTATGTTTTGGCCATTATTAATTAAATTCTAAATATGGAGATTACATGTCGCAGTTAACTCGAGACAAGTCGGCAACTTCATAACAAACAAACTTGCAATACTAATTTTCAAGAGATACAGGATGATGCAGATTATACTGACATTTTACGGTTGTCGTCATGATTTTTATGAAGAACGTTTTATTTCTCTGTGTGATATGAAGCTGTACGTAATTGATGCTCGTTAGTATGCCTGATGCCTCTGTTGTTGCTTATCCTGTCACCATGTGACATCACTTACTTGGTTAACCAAGATTTACATTGCGGGGTTCAGTATTGAAGCAGAAAACGCTTACTCTTCCAGAACATTTAATCGCATTCTCCTTGAACTTTTACAGGGGTCCTCTTTCGTTGGTATTTTCCACTAGTTACGTCGAATTTGTGTTGGGATTAAGATCATGTTATCATGTCGGTTTTTCTCTGTTATCCCTTTGTTAATCTTTGTTTTTGTGAACTACATTAGAATATAAGGGATAGCCTCTGTTGGTGGGCTTTAGTCTTCAAGGTTTGATATAAGCTGCATGTAGTGTTTCGACTCGTTTGAATAGCGGCAAGTTGCAGAATATATCCATATAGCTAAGATTATTATTGTTTAAATCATCCTTCATAGCAAATGACAGATTTCCTTGCATTATAGGTTAGTTGTTCAGTCTTTAGCATCATAATCGGGGACTGAAATGTGGTAAGAAATAATAGCATAGCAAGTTTAAAGGCTCTGATCAAAATTACATAATCCCTGTTAACTACATTCACTTTCAGATAGGCGATAGAGGAACGAACCTAAGTGGTGGTCAGAAACAGCGCGTGAGTCTGGCACGTGCAGTCTATAGCAACAGCGACATCTATCTTTTAGATGACCCCCTGTCTGCCGTTGACGGTCATGTTGGGCAGCACCTATTCCATAATTGCATTCATACAGTCTTGAAAGATAAAACCGTTGTATTGGTCACTCACCAACTCCAGGTAAAGAAACCGTACAAGCTTATACAAAAATCCTCATCGAACTCCCGCAAAGTATACGTCACACAAAAGTGAAATAGTTTTGTTAGTTGATACAATTCCGCGTTCAAGGGTTAAAAATATTGGACCTCATACCTTATATCTCTTAAAAGAAAAGTTCCAGGAAGACTTTCATAAATTCCTCAATAAATCTAGAATGTATTTATACCAAAAGTGTCCGATGACTTTATACATGCTGCTTTGTTGGCTGTCTAACTAATGCTTTGGCATAGGTAACTACATAATGAGTTGTAACTTCTATTTTATATTGAATTTACACAAAACGAAGTTCATAAGAAAATACTAAATAAACTCTTCATGTGAATAGACGGAGAATCCATGAAAATAATTTGTAAAGTTAGGATTAGCAATACAATTCCATTGTTATTTTTCACATTATGCAGTACTTAAAGGAATGTGAAGAGATATATGTCATGGCTGGTGGCGAAATAGCCGAGCACGGATCGAGTCAGTCGTTGTTAACAAAGAACGGACACTACGCAAAATTGGTTCAACAACTTGATTCCGACATGGAAAATATGTGCGATGAAAGTAATGGAATCTTTTCTCTTTTGCTTCGTAACGTGCGACTGCTAAAGGTTTATATACGAAAGATCAGGATTTTCCTGATAACCAAAATATCTTCGGAACAAAAGTAGTTTATATTAAGAACAAGTAATGACTGACAACTAGTTATACATCATTTGATTTTAAAAATAAATGCCTAAACTATTAAATTCCATAAGTTTGTAACTAGAAATCGATTATAATATCGGTCGTGTTGAACATCAAAGACATAACATAACGCAAGGCACTTGCAAAATTGGTGTTTTCTAATTCCAGACAATATGACGTTATTAGAAGATGACATAGATCAAGGATCCACTGATATTAACACAACTAAGCAACAGAGATATTCCGTACCGTCTTCCAGCTGTAATGGTAAAGGTATATATAACGAAATCTGTGTTAATTGTCTCCTTCTTTTAAAGATATCCATTGTTATGTCTTATGATGTGTAAACGTTTAAACGTTAACTTCATAATATGGATTAAAAGAACTTATTTTAGAGGATTACGAAGGGCACTTTAAAGGTATTACGATGATGGCGTTTTAAATACGTTCTTTTTGGCCCTGTTCAGGTGTTCTTACAGACAGAGAGACCTCAAAGATTGGCGAAATCAGCATGGAAACATATATGAGCTATGTGCGTGCAGCAGGAGGCAAAATTGTCGCCGTTTTTGTGCTTCTACTGTATGTATGTTCTATTTCTTCTGTCGCATTTACTGACTGGTGGCTTGGAATTTGGATTAAGCAGGCAGTAAGTATTGCTCACTATAACTTAATATTACAGACAATTGATTTGAATGTTGTACTTCCTGTAAACGTACATATTTTGGAGGTAATATATTTTAGTGTCTTTCGTGCAGATGACATTACGTTAACATGTGGTTGCGCAAAAAGCGCTTCTTAAGTAATTGCAATACGTGAAAATGCGATAAAATTTTATTGTGCTCGCAGTATCAACACACAAATTCATTTATTTTTTGCATACGGAAACGGGGAAATAATAACGATTACCAATAAAACATTTCAGAATGCTAAAGCGCCTGAAACACTTTCTTTCATTCCCAATGGTACAAGTACAAATGTATCATCCGATGGGAATGCAACAGACCAGAAAGCAAATGTAACTTCCTTCTTGCAATTGGATGATAACTCAGACGGAACAAACTGGTATCTTACTGTGTATGTTTTTTCGACTGTTGGAATACTTGGACTAGCGACATTGAAAGGAGTAGTAGCGGGGCTGGTAAGATACATGCGTGTAGCAAACTTCCACTTCACCATAAAATTGATGTCCTTTGGTATTACGTTATCTATACACAATACGAAATTAGAAATGATCTGAAAAGGTATATGGTAGAATTTAGAAAATTGCCTTCAAAAATGGGGAAAGAACGCTTGTGTCTTCTCGTAAACTATCTGTCTGTGCAAATATTTCATGATAGGGGAAAACACACCATAAATATATTCAAACGCGTCCATGTTATTTCTGTAATCTTATCTGATGCAACGAATGATTGATATATGTAAAATTCCCTCAAATTCAGTCATTTATAAAATATGAATCGGTCAATACGAGGGAATTTATTTCACACCACATAATTTGCTTTCACTGAAATATGGTATCCGTTACGAATAATATGTGATAATATGTAATATTACAATATCAGAGATGATGGTCATATGTGACAGACTGCTTTTATCTTAAACTACACAACCATGTGAATATCATGGAAGACATAAAGTTCCCAATATTTATTACTCTGCTCTTAGGTTATGCCGAAGTTTCTTTTATGATTCCCAATTTTCCAACAATTGTTTTTGTGGCAATGAGAAATAACTTCTAGAATCTCCTTTCAATAGAAATCCATGATGCATTGGCATAAAATGAATTAAGTAATTGCAATGTAACGTCTGTTCCTTTTTCGTTTACTTTGAAGACTTTTGCAAAGTAATGAAGAAAGAGCTTTGTGTTATGCAGGTGACAATAAAAGCTAGTGTAAGTTTACATAACAATGCAGTGTGCAGAATAATGAGTACGCCAATGCGGTATTTCGACGCAAATCCATCGGGTAGACTACTGAATCGATTCTCAAGAGATGTAGAAGACGGTTGGTATCGATATTTAATATGTCCGTGTATTATATAGTTAATGTCAATGTTAATGATTGTGAGCCCCATCACGATACAAATTACTTCGTTTCTCAAACAGAGAAATGTCGCATGGAAATGAGAAATACTATTAACATTGTTGAATTAAAGTATTGCATAATCTATCATCTAAACTATATTAATCTAACCTAATTGTCCTACTTCGTCTTTCGGTTTAAGCTGAAGAATGACGTTTGGATTGGTCTTGTTGAAGTTATCTGGCAGTTATAGTTACGTTCCTTCTTTTGTTACAGCTGATACATTTATCCCCCATATGATGGACATGCTTATCCAAGGCATAATTATGGGAATTATCTCCCTTGTCACCACTGCTTACAATTATCCATTGTTCCTCATCGCAGTAGCTGCCATTGGATTTTACTTCTATATCATTAAAATCATAGGGACCGTTCCAATAAGAAATTTCAAGCGCCTTGAAAATGTCGTAAGGTCACCACTGCTTAGTCACGTGACCACATCATGCAATGGACTAAGCACCATCGTTTGTTACTCACAGGAAAACAACTTCATGAAAGGGTGAGTTGCTGAGTCGAATATTTCAGGTCATATTCAACTGCTTTGAAATCTACATCCTTACCGAGTCTCTATTGTCATTAAATGCGGAATATCTAAACTGTTAAAACATTGAGTGAATTTTATGTATTTAATGAAGAATAGCGTAAGCTTGCTAATAAGTAAAATAGCATCCTTGAAATCCACTGAAGACATAAAATAGTACATAATAATATATATATAATGTCAATACATAAAATATAATATTACTACATTGAATGGTTTGAAAAAAACTCAGATATGACGTCTGTGTGTGACATTAATTTATAATATCTCCATTGTAGCTGTAAAAAGCTGTCATATATGACATCTGTGTGTTACATTAGTTTTAAATATCTCAATTGTAGCTGTAAACAGTTATCAGACATGACATCTGTGTGTTACATTAGTTTATGATATATCCATTGTAGCTGTAAACAGAGATCAGATATGACACTGGTTTATACTATCTCCATTGTAGCTGTTAACAGTTATCAGATATGTCATTAGTTTATGATATATCCATTGTAGCTGTAAACAGAGATCAGATATGACACTGGTTTATACTATCTCCATTGTAGCTGTTAACAGTTATCAGATATGACATTAGTTTATACTATCTCCATTGTAGCTGTAAACAGTTATCAGATATGACATTAGTTTATGATATCTCCATTGTAGCTGTAAACAGTTATCAGATATGACATTAGTTTATACTATCTCCATTGTAGCTGTAAACAGTTATCAGATATGTCATTAGTTTATGATATCTCCATTGTAGCTGTAAACAGTTATCAGATATGTCATTAGTTTATACTATCTCCATTGTAGCTGTAAACAGTTATCAGATATGTCATTAGTTTATACTATCTCCATTGTAGCTGTAAACAGTTATCAGATATGACATTAGTTTATACTATCTCCATTGTAGCTGTAAACAGTTATCAGATATGTCATTAGTTTATGATATCTCCATTGTAGCTGTAAACAGCTATCAGATATGACCTCTGCGGTAATGTTCCTGATGGACTTAAGCATGAGGTGGATGAATCTTCGATTAGACATTGGGGGCAGTGTGGTGACAATTATAACAACTATCATCGTGGTGTTCACCAAAGGCTCTATATCTCCTGCATTGGCAGCGCTGTCATTGACTATGTGTACAAACGTATGTATACCTGATAATATATACAGATCTACATGATATTATTTTGGCAGTCTTCACTTTTCCGATTCTCATTCATTATGATATAATACTCATATACATAATTCTTTTAGAAAATGTTCCTTAAACACGCTTTGTTAAGTCAAGTGAGTGTTTTCTGATTGCAGGTGGCATCACTTATCCCGTTCTTCGGCCGTTCAATAAATGAAGTGGAAAGCAGGTTTACATCCATCGAACGAATTCATGAGTATGAGGTACACAAATTTGTGTATACTGATGAGAATTGTCGGATAGAATATACAAGCAATGACTGGTTTTCGTAGTTTTGTTTTCTCGTATGTTTGATATAGTCTTTAATCCCCAACCTTTACTGGAACCCCGCACCCCCCCCTCCCCCCCCCCTTTTTTTACTTTTACTTGGTTTCCTTTACCGCTGTGTGTGATGGCATGGTGCTTGCCAATTACTTTTCAGAATCTCGAGATAGAAGACGAGACTGGGATTGTTCAGGTTGATAAAAAATGGCCAAGCGAAGGAGGTATAAGGTTTTCAAATGTGGAAATGAAATACCGCGATGGTATGGCCCCTGTACTGAAGAACATCAACCTCGATATCCCTCCGAAACAAAAGGTTGGCATTGTCGGCCGAACGGGAGCTGGTAAGATACGTTTTGATTTTCAATTGTTGCAGTGTGAAAACAGTGTTTAATTGTATTTTCTTATTTAAAACGATTTTCTTATATATTCATTAACTTAATTAGTCAAAAGCTTTTTTGCTGACCTCCTAATATCTATATAACTATATTAATGAAGATTCCGTATTATCTGAAAATTGCATTGGCTAATAAAGATATTCGTAACGTGAACGTTAATTTGCTCAATCTTAATAAGAGCAGGTTTTTTTAATTGAGCTTTTCCGTGATATTAGAATTATTTGTTACTCGTACAGGGAAATCGTCGTTAGTTGCTGCCCTGTTCAGGTTGGCCGATCTATCTGACGGCAACCTGTTCATAGACGACGTCGAAATTAGAACAATACCGCGAAAACTTCTGCGTTCAAGTTTGGCGTCGATTCCACAAGATCCTGTTCTGTTCGCTGGTACCTTAAGGCAAGGATTTTATTGTACATGTGAATCTTTATCGCTGAGTGGTATACAAACGTTCACAATAACACAACATATATCTTTGTTCCTAATATGGCGTCATAGCTTACGATATGTTTCCCTCTGTTGTAAAATTAATAAAGACTTTCCTATTACAATATCCTAGCTAATTTCTGGCTCGTGTGATATATCACTGCGCTTAATTACGGAAAATGATTAAATCTTTGGCGTTATTTTACAAGTATATCATTGTCATTTTCCATATGAAATGAATATAATCATCATAAATGGGACATAACATATATCATTAAATATGAGTGTCTTATCATCGATATACGTTTTTAATTAACATATGGAATACGATAAAATATATATACCTAAGGCAGGTAATAGCGGTTAAGTGTTTTACTTTTTCTTATATAGAACAGCTATGTAGTAATATACTATATGCATTATGCAACGACATCCTACAGAGATTAATGTTTTCATTATCACTGGGACAAAATTAAACATATAGCAGAATTTTTTAAAATTTACTATGAAAGCATGTAAAAACCCATTTTGTACTTAAAGCGATATTCTATCAGCAAATTACAACATTTATGACAAACAAGCTTCAACAAATCACTTTCATAATTCGTTGTCTTCTACATCGTATGACAGATTTATTGACAATGCTAAAGTGTTTCACTTTCACAGGTACAACCTGGATCCATTTCAAAAGTATACGGACGAACAGGTCTGGGCAGCACTGGACCAGGCCAATATGAAGGAAAAAGTATATTAGTTGAAATACAGTATATAACAAAATAGATGATGCTTTAATATCTATGAACTATTAATCAATTCATATATATATTTTTTTAATGTGATAGATTGAAGAGTTATGTAATAACATTAAAGAAGAAGTATTAAACCTCTTTTATTTAACGATTGAAATGAACGATCTAGTGGATAACTGTAGATCTATCGTTGTCCTGCTCACAATCATGCTACATTGTAACATCTCACCATGTTTGCTTTGGTTTAAATTTGTTCTTATAGTGTCAATGTTGTGAGTAAAACGCATGCATGCTTATTATGGTTCTTGTAGTGTCAATGTTGTGAGTAAAACGCATGCATGCTTATTATGGTTCTTGTAGTGTCAATGTTGTGAGTAAAACGCCTGCATGCTTATTATGATTTAGATGAACCGTCTTGGTCTGACTCTTGACTTATCTATCGAGGAAAACGGAGAAAACTTCTCGGTGGGAGAACGACAACTAATATGTCTGGCACGTGCTATTTTGCGTCAAAACAAGGTAAGAAGGTGCAGAATTGAAAGAACAATATTGCAAAAATATTTAATTCTAAAAAAAAAAAAAAAATAGGAAACAAATGAAAAATCCTTCACAATATTGAAATCCTCAATCACTGCAGGTCATTTTAGCTGAAAAACACATTTATAAAGTGCTCGGTTGAGTCGTTTCCCTATGTTTTTCCTTAGTCGCATATTTCATAATGCATCTAATGATACATGTCTTCAAGGTACATATCATTACCGATAATGCTATAAAGTATGAAACACTGTATGTTGGAAAACTACAAACAATATATGGTTTCTGCATAGAAGTTTGATGAGATGATGCAGGTGTAACAAACTTGTACACTGTATTTTAGATCTGAAATACACTTTATCCGGCGAAATGAACACAAAACATAGCATACTTATCTTAGGTATCAATGTTTGTGATTAGAATTGAGGGATTAGAAACTCATTTCAATTTTACAACTGCAATTGGATTATATAGCATTTAGTCACACTAACATTTAAATATCCTGGTATCGCCTTCTTGAAAATATTACATTTTCCCTTATTTTGCTCTACAATATCGGTGCATTTCAAAGCCATTAAATCCTTCAGATTCTGGTAATGGACGAAGCCACAGCGTCCACCGATACATTCACAGATGCCTTGATCCAAGATACTGTCCGTGACAGTTTCTCCGACTGTACCGTTCTGACGATCAGCCACAGACTTAACACCGTACTGCATTGTGACGTCGTACTTGTCATGGATGCCGGACAGGTGATAGAGATTGGTAACCCACAGGCCTTGTTACAGAATCCGTCTTCACATTTCAACAGTATGATTCGTGTTCAAAACCGACCATCTATAATCAGATGATGTTTTCGGAAACAATCATATCGACACCGTTAAAGAAAAGTCCCGCATGACAATCATGACAGACTGCATTTCTAGCTGGGGATATCTCAGTCACTGGCTGATCCATAAATGCTAGAATTCATTAAAAAAAAAAAGAAAAAAAAGTTCTTTAGTTCTCATTCATTCAGCCACATAAGAACGGCCTGAAGCTATAGAGGGGCATCATGTCATTCATGAATATAAAGCGCGCCGCCCCCCCCCCCCCTTTTTTTTTAAAGATTTGAATCAGCGACTGCAGGTTGCCTTTTTCAGTCAGTCTCAAGACTTAACATGGATAAGAAAGTAGCAATGAAAACCTAGTCTATAATTTTTGTTGGATCATTTGTCTATATGAAAGACACATATGTATTCTTTTGTAGACCTTATGTTCCGATTGTACCCAAAACTGAACATCAAACATTAGATACCAAAGGAAAATGATACATACCCATACGAAACCTTTTTAAAGTTCGTTCCATTTCTCCCAAGAAATAGCGGTAAAAAATCAATTTCAGTCAAAATTCCAAGAAGCGATTTTTATCTTATCGATGAAAATTGAATCTACACATGAAGAGGATGATCTCTAGAGCTCTTCACAAGAAATAATGATAAGAGAGTGAAGGATATCCCAGACGAGTAGCAATCTTCACACAAATACACCGCTGCATACATATCATTTTCATTAAACAAATTATTTCCATCCTCATTTATGAAAATAAGATGGATATTGATATCAAATATTAATATCCCGTTGATGTATGGGAAGTTTCTTACCTTTAATTGTAATGTGGCGATTAGTCAATTAAGAAGATGGCCTGGTTATAGAATTCAACTAAGTGATAAAGTTAACTTGATATGGAGTAAATCTTAGCTGATTGGTACAATTTCATGTAATAAAACTAAAGTGATTGGTCAAATTTTGCAAAATATAAAATATATCTCTGCTGATTGGACAGATCTCGTTTACGTCACTAAGCTATGTACGAGATTTCGATAAAGTTACTGGGATAACTATTGTTATACTGTCTGCCGATCTGGGGAAGGGTTGTCATTATTGGATGTGCCGATCTATCTATTGTGAACGTTATATATGAATTCTGTAATAAAATTATTATATTCAAGTAAACACGGATGTTTTCTTTTTGAACTATGGTTGTTTATTATCCATGAGCAATTACGTGTCCAGTGATAAAGAGGATGTTTAATAGTGTGATGAGAAGTGGAATCTCTGACGACGGTTTTGGAAAATTAAGGAACTCTAGCATTGTTCTCGCGTTCTAACTGGTATGCGTTTGACTGAGGTTAGGTAAAATCTATCTAAGGTAGTTTGGCTGAACATATAAACAGTCTTTCCAATAACAAAACAGTGTCGTTGTACGAGCTTCAGTCAAATGAAAATATCTCGGTATACACATTTGTCGTGCTCTGGTCTTATTCTTGTACTTTTTCACGATTTTCCGTGTAAATCCGTTTTTGTTTATATTTTGTCCTAGTTTTATTGATACTGAGTTTGAATAATGATTGTGTTGACAGGTTGGTATTTTCATGTTGTTTCTTGAGAAAAATCTATTACCTGGTTATGAGAAGTTAGAAACTAAACGTCGGACAAAAACTAGTCTGTTACATACTGTTCCTACATCCACACCGACGTGTCCATGGTGATGATTGCTTAACCACCAATTCAATGGAATTAAATTATGTGTTTGCTCTAGCTGATTATCATAACCTTGAGCCAAATATTATAACATTGGTAGACGTCCGAGAATAACGACCAGGTGGTTACAAATGTATGTCTGTTCTACACACGTGTCGGGGCAAGTTGGTTTTTTGGATAAAAGAACATTATAACGACATTTTTATGATATAATCTTCATGGAAAAAAAAGAGTGGTGAAAAAATAAAAACTTTTAATCAAAGAGCGTGTATTATTCAAATCGACTTTCCCATTAAAACCACGTAGAAAAGTAAGCAGTTGTGTGATATTCGTTTTGCTGTGGCTTGATATGACTTTGCTGTGATCATGGTGCGGCTTTGTTGTGTCTTGATAGTGATGACTTTGCTGTGATCACGATGCGGCTTTGATGTGGCTTGGATAGTGATGACTTTGCTGTGGTTACGGTGCGGCTTTGCTGTGGCTTGGTAGTGATGACTTTGCTGTGATCACGGTGCGGCTTTGCTGTGTCTTGATAGTGATGACTTTGCTGTGATCACGATGCGGCTTTGATGTGGCTTGGATAGTGATGACTTTGCTGTGGTTACGGTGCGGCTTTGCTGTGGCTTGGTAGTGATGACTTTGCTGTGATCACGGTGCGGCTTTGCTGTGGCTTGATAAGTAATGAATTTGCTGTGATAATGCGCGGTTTTATGTGGCTTGGTAGTGATGACTTTGCTGTGATCACGGTGCGGCTTTGCTGTGGCTTGATAGTGATGACTTTGCTGTCATCACGGTGCGGTTTTATGTGGTTTGGTAGTGATGACTTTGCTGTGGTTACGGTGCGGCTTTGCTGTGGCTTGGTAGTGATGACTTTGCTGTGGTTACGGTGCGGCTTTGCTGTGTCTTGATAGTGATGACTTTGCTGTGGTTACGGTGCGGCTTTACTGTGGCTTGGTAGAGATGACTTTGCTGTGATCATGATGCGGCTTTGCTGTGGCTTGGTAGTGATGACTTTGCTGTGGTTACGGTGCGGCTTTGCTGTGGCTTAGTAGTGATGACTTTGCTGTGATCACGGTGCGGCTTTGCTGTGGCTTGATAGTGATGTCTTTGCTGTGATCACGGTGCGGCTTTGCTGTGGCTTGATAGTGATGACTTTGCTGTGATCACGGTGCGGCTTTGCTGTGATCATGGTGCGGCTTTGCTGTGGCTTGATAGTGATGACTTTGTTGTGACCACGGTGCGGCTTTGCTGTGACTTGGCAGTGATGACTTTGCTGTGATCACGGTGCGGCTTAGCTGTGATCATGGTGCGGCTTTGCTGTGGCTTGATAGTGATGACTTTGCTGTGATCACGGTGCGGCTTTGCTGTGATCATGGTGCGGCTTTGCTGTGGCTTGATAGTGATGACTTTGCTGTGATCACGGTGCGGCTTTGCTGTGGCTCGATAGTGATGACTTTGCTGTGATTACGGTGCGGCTTTGCTGTGGCTTGATAGTGATGACTTTGCTGCGATCACGGTGCGGCTTTGCTGTGGCTTGATAGTGATGACTTTGCTGTGATCACGGTGCGGCTTTGCTGTGACTTGATAGTGATGACTTTGCTGTGATCACGGTGCGACTTTGCTGTGACTTGGCAGTGATGTCTTTGCTGTGATAACGGTGCGGCTTAGCTGTGATCATGGTGCGGCTTTGCTGTGGCTTGATAGTGATGACTTTGCTGTGATCACGGTGCGGCTTTACTGTGGCTTGATAGTGATGACTTTGCTGTGATCACGGTGCGGCTTTGCTGTGGCTTGATAGTGATGACTTTGCTGTGATCACGGTGCGACTTTGGTGTGGCTTGATAGTGATGTCTTTGCTGTGATCACGGTGCGGCTTTGCTGTGGCTTGATAGTGATGACTTTGCTGTGATCACGGTGCGGCTTTGCTGTGGCTTGATAGTGATGACTTTGCTGTGATCACGGTGCGGCTTTACTGTGACTTGATAGTGATGACTTTGCTGTGATCACGGTGCGGCTTTGCTGTGTCTTGATAGTGATGACTTTGCTGTGATCATGGTGCGGCTTTGCTGTGACTTGGCAGTGATGACTTTGCTGTGATCATGGTGCGGCTTTGCTGTGGCTTGATAAAAGATGATTTTGTTGTGATCACGGTGCGGCTTTGCTGTGACTTGGCAGTGATGACTTTGCTGTGATCACGGTGCGGCTTTGCTGTGGCTTGATAGTGATGACTTTGCTGTGATCACGGTGCGCCTTTGCTGTGACTTGGCAGTGATGACTTTGCTGTGATCACGGTGCGCCTTTGCTGTGACTTGGCAGTGATGACTTTGCTGTGATCACGGTGCGGCTTTGCTGTGGCTTGATAGTGATGACTTTGCTGTGATCACGGTGCGCCTTTGCTGTGACTTGGCAGTGATGACTTTGCTGTGACTTGGCAGTGATGACTTTGCTGTGATCACGGTGCGGCTTTGCTGTGATCACGGTGCGGCTTTACTGTGGCTTGATAGTGATGACTTTGCTGTGATCACGGTGCGCCTTTGCTGTGACTTGGCAGTGATGACTTTGCTGTGATCACGGTGCGGCTTTGCTGTGGCTTGATAGTGATGACTTTGCTGTGATAACGGTGCGCCTTTGCTGTGACTTGGCAGTGATGACTTTGCTGTGATCACGGTGCGGCTTTGCTGTGGCTTGATAGTGATGACTTTGCTGTGATCATGGTGCGGCTTTGCTGTGGCTTGATAGTGATGACTTTGTTGTGATCACGGTGCGGCTTTGCTGTGACTTGATAGTGATGACTTTGCTGTGATCATGGTGCGGCTTTGCTGTGATCAATGTGCGGCCTTGATGTGGCTTGATGACTGCTGTAATAATATGCGACTTTGCCTTGACGAGATAAGATTTCACCTGATACTTTGGGTTTGATATTCATTTTGCTGTAATGGTATACAAGGCTTTGCAACATCTTGATATAATGTAACCGGGTTGCACAAGGGTCTACGAAAATAACGACTAGGACAACCGGGTCGGGTTCGTTCCTTTATTGATATTCACCAACCGCAATCCATATAATGCAAGTAGTAGCGGTACAAGTCGTATAAAGATTGAACCCTAACTATGGGTTGAGGATCATACGCCTTAACCCGATCATTTATGAAGCTGGCTCTTACAAAATTCTGGATAAATCATATGTACTGAGAGGTGAGAAACACATCTATCTCTAGCCAAAGCTATTTTCCTTCTGCCCAAAACAATTTGGACAAAGAACTTTCCCTCCAAAAATATAGCCAATAAAATAAAAGGTCAATTTAAAAGTTCATGTCAAAGGTCGGGTTAGTTATGAACATTACTCACAAATATCATGCAGAAAAGACATGGACAGTACATGTAACACTGGACAATATATATAGACGGGTAGGTAACATGACCATACCTATATATCAAACATATATACACAGGTACTCTCTACAGGTAAGTGGGTAGCAGTTTCCACCTGTATACTAACACCAGTACATGTACATATATACCACCTGACCTACATGTACAAATATATAAAATACGTCAAATAATTACAAAGAACATAATTATTTCATGTTATACAAATACGGTAAATTAACTGAAAATAAAATACATTATTAAATTAGGTGAAATAGTTCACCTGGCCACAATAAGTAAATAGAAAAAAACCAGATAACTGAAACCTGACGTCACTCTTTTAAGATACTAATTCAAACTCCTAATCATCGATCTGCGCGACCCCTTCTTGGAACACAGAAATATTTTCTTTTCACTATGTCGACCCCGCCTTAGAGCGGAGTAACAACGATTTTCGTTTTGCCGTGCAATTGAATTCTTTTTGTGATACTTAGAAATAATGATAATCATCGTTTTGTCGAAACATCGATAATCTCTGCTTTGTCTCCCTGTGAATTTACCAAGATCGTCGCTATTTTGTCTATTGGAATAAAAAAAAAACGCTTTTCTTTCAATCGGCTTCAAAATATTTTTTGGTTAACATTTGCGGTTCTCTCGGTGTGAAAAAAAATTAGTGGGGCGAAACAAAAGTAAGAATATATCACCCAAGGAAATACAGTCTTCTGCACATCTGTCCTTTAAAATCAATGCTTTGATTAAATATGGTAATTATCTTTTGTGATATAGAACATGTCATTGTACAGGCGCACTCCTCTGTTGACACTGTAATTTTCATGGTATATTCCGGATGACAATCCTTTCCGTCTTTATTATTTTACACCGTACTTTCGGTTTGTTCTTAAATGCGGTAAATAGTATTGTATCCACATCAGGTGTTGTATCATGTTCTGAAATCATGTTTACACGGTGTGGTGTAAACAAACCTGTTTATCCCAACTATTTCCTGCTTTTTGATATTCTTCCTTTAGATATTAGAATGAAGAAATTCGTGTACATAATATCAAACATCGAACTTCCGGTATCAGCACGTATCTGATTGGTCAAATTAATAAACACACGAACTCACTTGAGAAAAAATCGCCGGTTTCGGTAAGTGAAAATATATACAGTTGTCAATGTAAGGTTTTGTAGCCAATACATCGCTTTTAAATACAGGTTATATTATATATAATAAAATAACGGTTTACGATTAAGAAAACGCGTTTAAGATAGTTATCAGGCAGTAAATTGTAATGTTCACGAGGCAGTTTGCGAAATTGAAGTTATGTAAGATATTTCTTGCTGTGTCTTTTGATATGTACGTCATTTATGCATATATTTGACTAAGACTTTGAATATCTTATATTTTGTATGAAAGGAATGAATAGGAAATATATACTCGTACTTTCTTCATCATCGAGTAAAGTACCTGTACTTGACTGCCATCACAGGTGATCGACACCCTGTCTATAATAATATTTGATAATCACTATGAAACTATACTGTTGTATTAGAAGGGGGTAATGAAAAACGCCCAGCTACCATTGGAGTTCAAACTAGCGACTCATCAGTCTCAAGGCAAACACTCTACTGCTCGACTAAGGAAAATATTCTTTAGTATACTACCAAGGGACTTGGCAAAACTACCCCACACATTGTCTATAGTGACAATTTATATAATATAAATATACATGGATTGTGGCTTGGTAAGTTGTGCCAAGTGCCCAAGTCCATGTTGTATGTGGGCAATTTTATGTTTATTGATTCTTACTGACAGAACATCAGACTCATGCAGCAAAAGATTTACTGTCATGACTATTTTTAAGGCATCAAAGTACAGTTCATCAAGGTCAGTTAGTCATTTCTTTTTATTCTTAAAAATTACCTGACTTTTTAAAATTTAAGGTAGTTTTATAAAGCTATATAAATATGCTTGAAAGGGCATCATACCTCAGACTGGTTTGTTTATGAAAGCCACTCAAAATCATTATTATTTGTATCAGATTTATCAAACATATATTATTAGTACAATGTATATGTTAAACATATTCCAGTCTGAAGTTTGCGAATTAGTCATATTCTATAAATGTACATATAAATATGATGGATTTGAATTTTACAAAATAGGATGAGTGATAAAGGCTAAAGTTTATGTTCATCCGTCCTGTGTTACCAGCCTGCAAGGTAACACAATGAAGTGGGGTGTATGTGTGGGTGTGGCTGCAACTATCCTTGGAATCTATTTTTGTCACTTCCTGGTGACTGTCACATGGGGCTCTGTCCTGGCAAAGTTATGGGCAGGTAATTCAGTTGTACACATTATTTATATCTTAAACATAAAGTATTCTGCCATTCTGTTTATTACAGTTCTGAACCAAAAAAAAGGTATTTATGAAATTAACTCAACTGTTGTTGGCATCAGTGTTGTTTAAAGTGTTACAAGCTATCACTCTTTCTGTCATTTTGCTAAGGAAAGCATGTGCTTGAAATATTGAGCATGTGCAGAAAATGGCAATTTAGATAAATGTTTTAGCAGTAACAAGGTATTTGTCATAATTTAGAATAATGATACTGTTGATATATGTATATTACATGCTGTAATATTCATCATGTATAATATCCAAATGACACACACCATTAATTGTCAACAAAGTTTTGCAACAAGCTTGTATTCATAATGAAATATTAAAAGGTAATGCTTTTGGGGGCATGCATGCTACTTTCATTTGTGATATCAAGACATAACAGCAGATGCTGCATGAGGTCTTTACCTAGTAAAGTCTTTACATCACAATTAATACAATACAACTGAACCTACAATTAATCACTAGCTATCATTTAGTCCATTTATAGTCTTCTTTTCTGTTAGTTCCTTAACCCAACTGCCACTCTGTCTGTGTATGCTTGTTAGTAAATCAAAAGTTTGTCAGCACTCTAATAGCTCCAGTCGGTATAGAATTTTTATGAAATTAAAATTTCTAACACTTTCAAATGATAATACTATCTTGAACAATTTTGAGTTGAAGGGTTGACCGGTCAAGGTGAAGGTCACTCTTGCTATTTTTTAAAATCCTCAGCATTCTGGTGGCTTCATTCCTTGACAGATTTTTATCAAACCTCACACACAAGCAACCAAAATGTTTTAGACAACTTCTAGTTTCAGAGTTGTTGGGTCCAGGTCATGGTCACTGTTACTTGAGAGATATTCATCAAACTTCACACACTTATAAGGTGTAAAAGCTTGCAAGGACAATCAGGGGATATGTTTGGTATAATATTATAATCAAAGTTCATAGATGTAATGAATGTAATTAAGTTAAGTGATACAGAGCTAACAGATGAGATTGGCACTGGGATATTCCATAAAAAATTTGTGTTACAAAAATATATTTCATAAATATTGAACTACGATGTTTCATGCATATTTATCAGATAAATGAGTATATGTATGCTATCATAACATATTCATTATGTTTACACATGTAGTCTTTATTGTAATCATTAATTTTTTGTCTTTCAGCTTCTATGCTTGGTGTATGCATAGTGACTTTAACATTGACTATAGATTTTTATAGAAGAGATTTTGATGAGATGCACTTCTACACTATACGAAGCAAGATAAACCATTACATTGCCAATGCTGGCCTTGCTGTAGCTGGCCAGTACCAACAATGGAAAATGGACAAAAGCACCAAAGATATCAAAGCTGCACAAAACGAAATTCTCTTCCAAAGACTTAAAAAAAATAAGGATACAGAATATGGTATCAAATACAAATTTTCTGAGGTAAAAACAAGAGAAGATTTTGTGAAGTGTCACCCTCTGACACGAATCAGTCATTATGAGGATTACATTAATAGAATGATGTCAGGAGAGAAAAATATCTTGACTTCAGCGCAACCGATCATCTTTGCTGTCACTTCAGGAACCTCTGGTAAAAGTAGTGTTATACCAATGATCAAAGAACAAAGAATACTATTTTTCTTGCAAGGAGTAGCTGTAGCATATAATAGTATGATCAAAGCATATCCAGGTTCTAAATCAATTCAAAAGAATCTCAAACTGTTTTACACCCCCAAGATGAGAGAATCACCTTCAGGGATACCTGTTGGTCCTAATTCATCCTCCCCTGCAAACTCAAAGGCAATGTTGAGTCTTTACTCAACCCCAAGTGCTGGATATGAAATTCTCAGTGAACCAGAAGCATTATATGTTCATTTACTGTTTGCCATAAGAGATCGTAATATTGGAATCCTAGAAGCTAATTTTTCCTCTATAGTGTACAATGCACTGCGTGCCCTTGAATATCATTGGGAAAGTCTGGCTGATGACATTGAGAAAGGTTGTATTAGTGCCTCTCTTAAAATTGATGATAGGATTAGATCTGAACTAGATAAGTCATTATCACCTGACATAAGAAGAGCAGATGAGATCAGAGCATCATTCAAAGATGGCCGAATGGGTTTGGTTAAGAGGTTATGGCCAAACTGCAATGTTGTGTTAGGAACAGATACTGGGGCATTTGCCCTCCAAGGTGACATGCTGAGAGAAACTTTCTGCAAAGGGGTCCCCCTCTACTCCCCTCTTTATGCAGCCTCTGAGGGACTTTTAGGGGTGAATATCTGGCCCCTAGAGAGACCGAGTCACTACCTACTGGCCCCACAGTCAATGTTCTGTGAATTCATTCCTGTGGAGAACAGTGATGAAGATCAACCACAAACTTACTTCATGGATCAGGTAAATTTTCTTATCATTTTATACACATGTATTTAATTAGATATGAGAACAAACTCCTGTACTAGGGTTAAATTTTTTGAGGTTATTGCTATTGTTAAATGTACGTTTGAGAAATAACAAATACATTTGATAAATGTCATGGTATAATCAGATTGGATGAGTTTCAATTAGATATATGAATTATATGGAACAATTGATAGAAAAGCAAGTTTTCTTAAAACAAATTACAAAAATGCTTTTGATTGTCTAGATGATAGTCTATGAGAAAGATGTATTACAGGTGGAGAGAGGACGTGTGTATGAACTAGTCATCACTACAGCATCAGGTCTTATGAGGTACAGGTTTGGAGATGTTGTCAAAGTTGTGGACTTTTACAATCAGTGTCCGGTCATTGAGTTTATGTACAGGTGAGTGGAACAGGTAACGGCCACTATATCCAATCAGTCAGTTCTTGATCAATCATTGTGACTTCAAGGTGAATATAATGTTATACAGTCAACATACAAGTTTTATTAAAAAAGCAGGGTTATATTACTGAGTTAAGGACTCAACAAAAAATCTAATCAATGCTTATGTCAATATACAGTGGATTTAAGAATGTAATAATGTCCCATCTTTACTCTGCAGTGAGTTTTTCTTCTTCTACCAAGTTCAAGCTTGTGAGTTACATATATAGTGAGGTTCTTTACATGGAAAAATATGTAATATGATATGGATCAAAAGGATGAAAATAATCTTAAATCCATATAGCTCCAAAAAGTCTTATGGATATTTGAAAAGAATAGTCCAGCGAGTTTCAGTATCTTAAATTCTATGATATCATAAATACACTTTTTATGATGTGGTATTTGAAGTCATTAATGTTATACAGGCAGGGCCAGCTGTTGAATGTACGAGGGGAGAAAACATCTGAAGTGGCATTATTCAAAGCTTTATCAGAAGGCGTGGCTCACTGGCCTGGGGCAAAGCTGGTGGATTACTGCTGTGCTGAGAGTGTGTTGGTGGAGGAAGAGGGTAGGTGTATGTATGGTCAGAAATGTTGTCAAATAAAAGGAGGAGAGACAAAAGCACTTCAACTTATCAGTGGGGAAAATGTGATAAAGGTTTTTCTAAGTAACATACCATGTGCATTAACTTTCAGATAAGAAACCCACTGAAGAGAAAGAACTGGTGGCCCTTTGTGGCTGTTCATCACAATTAGTCGTTATTTCAAAATAATATTTCTGTATTGTAACATAACCATTAAATGTAGTGTTTTACAACATGTATGCTGTATTGATAATTTCATACAATGCTTACACCATCAGATCCGAAAGACAAGGAGAGTTATGTTCCATTCTACCATGTTTTTGTTGAACTCGAACAAGAAACTTCAAATTTTGTCTTGCTTGATGAACAGAGGAATCTTGTAAGTAAACATTTCTGCTTTATGAAAATATGGAATTAAGAACAAAATTATTTAGAGTCTTAATTTTGTCTGGAGCATAACGCTAAGATTATAACAGGTTTCAATGTAACTGCATAAGTGGGTAGATCTCAACAAAGAAAAGTGCAGTGCACTATGACTAACATTCTGTTGCATAAATTATGAGTTATTGCCATTTCTTATTTTCTATGCTTAAATTTTGTCTGAAGCATTACACTAAAACTGTGCTAGGTGTCAACATGAAACTTCATAAGTAGATAAGTCTCAACAAGGAGAATTGCAGTGCATAAGAACCATCACTCTTTTTTTTTTTTTTGCATGATTTAGGAGTTATTGCCCTTTTTTATTTTTCATACTTAAATTTTTTCCAGAGCATTGCACTAAAACTGTAGTGGTGACAACATGAAACTCCATAGGTAGATAGATCTCAACAATGAGAAGTACAGTGCACCAAAACCATAGCTCTCTTTTGCATAATTTAGGAGTCATTGCCCTTTGTTATTTTTCATACTTAAATTTTGTCCAGAGCATTTCACTAAAACCTATAAGAGGTATAACATGAAATTTCATAGGTAGATTAATCTCAAAATGAAGGAGGACAGTGCATAAGAATCGTAACTCTCTAATTTCCTTTTGTTATTTTTCATACTTCAATTTTGTCCCATTTTGGGAGAATAACCAGTCTCTGATTGGCCTTGTTAAAATAAGTCCCAAAATTTGATAAGTCATGAATATTTAGGCAAGTGACATATCATATTATCTTTAGAGTTTAATATATTTCATATTACATCGGCACAAGAGTAAGACTCCATTTATCTTATAACCTTTATTAAAACTAACTTCCTGGTATGATAAATTTTATTTTGATGTAGATTCTACACTTTTCACTACCGCTACAATCATATGATGTCATCAACATCCCAGTTAAGTGATAAAATAATCTATAAAACTATTTTATAATTTTTTGTGTTTTTGGAGAATAAATTTTGATAACTAATTACGTTATAGAGATGAATTCAGGTTTTGTGTTGGATAAAGTCATGTTGATATTTATTATATAACAGAACTGATTCTGAGTTACTAATCGACAGGTGGATGAGTCTTTATGTAAACAGTCCTATGTATACCAGTCATTCAGGAAGAAAGGTAGTATTCACCCAATGAGGATTCATATAGTCAGCCCTGGTACATTCCAGAAACTCCGCGACTTCACCATAGCAACTACCTCAGCGTCTGCCAATCAATACAAAGCTCCCCGGGTCCTGAAGAGAAAGGATGCTGTGGAAATGTTAATGAAAAATGTGGTTAAATAAAGATGTGTCTTGCCAGTAGCATAAGATATTGATAGGAGAGTAATTTAAAATATAACTGTATACAAGAATGATTTCTTCATCATGAAAAGGGCATTTCAAAATACAAGTAATTTATTGATGAATTCATATTAGCTTATTAGATTTATACCTACGTGTATATGTCCTACTTGCCAATATAGGATTGTTATACAGTGATCTCAAAGCTGAGTAAAAACAGCCTACCATTTATCTACATCAAACTTACTTTTTATATACATGTATATCAATAGGTTAAAATCATACTACATATAGTTACAAACGGAGGTGTTTTTAAAACAAATTATTGAAGCTTGTTAAAATCACAGAAAGTGAAATACTTTTTTCAGATATTTTGTCTCAAAGTCACATAAATGTACCATGTATACATATATTTTTTAATTGTTAGACATTTTGGATAAGTTGATTTGAATGTTAGTAGGTACAAATCCTGATATGGTCTCTTACATTTTTACTACTTTGATTGGTATGTTGTATGATTCTTTATTCTAAATCTTTTGAATGTTACTGGATTCACATATTTTTGTCTTTTTGTTATACTTTGGTAAAGAACAACTGTTGTGTGTCCCTCTAAGATAATATCCACAGTTGGATTCATTTATTTATAGTTTCTGGACTTCAGTAAAGTTGGGTGTTGGGTGTATCTACATGGTGACATCTGCAGCTTGAAATATTTTGACCTACTTACAGTTTTTGGACTTGTTAACTTCACATTGTGTGAAACATCTACCTCATTAGACATTATTATATAAGACAATAATGATAATTAAATTAATTACCAATAAAGGTAGCTGGATATAAAAGTAAAATACTCAATAAGGCAAACATATTTGGATCAACATTGTGATTGTATACAGATTTTTCAACTACAACGGTAACACATATATATGTATTCTGGTCATTTGTATACACCTATTAACTCATTGGAGCTATTTATAGTTTATAGAAATATTTACACATGTGTGTAAAATGGCCTTTTTCTACTTCCTGAGTGGATCACAACAGCCATTTGTTACGTACATGACTAAACTGGTGCTTTGTATACTCAGACCAGTGGAGTTGCTGCTGAAGTTCAAAGATTTGTATTCAATTACATTACGGGCTCTTTAATTTAAACATTTTTGGATGTGCTATTGTCTTTAAAGTATTAAGATATCTTTCTGTTCCACTTTACTTGTACTAAACTTTACACTGCTGTTTTTCATGGTATATCTTAAGATGTGGTACAAACAGTTTTAAGACACAGACTTCAAAGCATTTATTGTAACATCAATTTTCAGGGCATTGAAGTCATTTTGGTTAATGTTTTTAGTTCACCTGTCTGAGACCATGTGAGCCTATACCATGGCAGCCCTTGTCAGTTAGTCATTAATCTATCTGGTGGCAACTTTCCTATTTGAATAAATTCCTCTCAAGAAGCAAAAGCACTTGGTGAAAATATTAGGCCTCTAGTAAACTGAGATGAAGAGCTACTTATTTGTTCAGATGAATGTCCTTGATTCACTTTCAAGGTCACAGGTGATGAAGATGATAAAATCTTAAAACATCTTCCTCTCAATAACCACGAGGTCCTGTGTCATGATATTGAACATTTAGCTTACTTGTATGAATAGCTACCAAGTTTGTTCAAAAGAATAACTTTCACCATGTTCAAAGTCACAGAGGTCAAATTCATAACTTTTTGTTCATATGGCTTATTCTTTGGAGTTTTGATATTTGGTCAGTTGCTTTCAAAGATGAAGGGCTACAAATTTTTGATGTGAAAATGAAAGTTACCGAATACACTTGTTCAATCAAGTATAAGTCCAAGAACAGGTAAATGATACAGGCCCTTCGGACCTCTTAATAAATAAATATTTGTAAGTCCTTGATATTTTAGAAAAGAAAAAAAATATTTCCTTACTTGAGTAATACATGTCTTAAAAAATCCATGCTGTGAGCTAATACACAATTAATTAGGAATGAAATAACACAATTAACAAGGAATGAAATATTTTTCTGTTTCTTAAATTTAACAATGCATTTAAAGCATTCTTGAAATGTCAGAAATATTTTAAGATGCAATTTACAATTATTATTATTTATAATGTCTTCTAACTGTTTGCTGGTGAAATACACTGTATTAAGAATTATCTATTCGATAAATTTGCCTGTAAATCACTATTTCAGTGATCATAAATGTTTTAAGTGCTCTGACTATGTATTCATTAATCTAAATATAAAGAACCCCCAAAAATTTTCGAGGGTAGCATACAGTCACAGCCTTTTTCCATCCATTGGTCCATCCATTCATGTCTGGGTTATGACTTTGCCAAGAGTTAACCAAGGATCATGAAACTTGGCATACACATTGGTCATACTAAGGTGATGTCCAGTGTACCAAATTCAGAGCCTGCAACCCCTCAGTTATGGAGTTATTATTCTTTATAAAAATTTGGTGTCTAAATTAAAATCTGATTACAGTGAAACTAGGATAATGAAATTGGGTGTATACATTGATCATCCAAAAACATTGTGCAGTGTACTAATAACAGAGTTATTGCCCTTTTTAAAAATTTTGTGTAGGGAGCAAAACTATGCCTTCAAAAAGAAGGATGATGAATTTTGATATATACATTGGTCATTCTAAGACAATGTGTGGTATACTAAACTCAGGGCCTGCAACCCCTTTATTACAGAATTATTGCCCTTTGTTAAAACATTGTGTCCCAAATTTTTTTTGAATAAACTGATACTGTTATTTGCCTTTGTTGTGGTCAGTTTCAACAACTTCAAAGACATACTGAGAATTCTTAGGAATCTGATGATACAATGTATCAGTAATGTATAAAATCTATCTATCTATAGATGATACACATGTAAACTTTTTGTTGACCAATCAGAACAGTGCTTTTAGTTAAATACATTTTTTTAATTCAATGCAGATGAAGTCAAAATTATATGTTTAGTGCTTGCTTTACTTTTTCTGTGTTAAGCTATTCATGCAGTAAAAGAAAACAGCAGAATCTTGTATTGCACAGTCCATAAAAATAGTGCTGGCATATTGTTGAGCATTTATAGACTTAAGTAGTTTGGACCAGGATTTCCTTTTGATACTGTTACTGTGAAAGTATTCTGCTGTGATGGAAAGGCGTTTACCACAGAAATTCTGTCTATTTCAGTAAGTTTATGTGCAAATTTTTCTATATGACTATCTATCCATAAAAGCATAATGTTTTTTTATTGTTTTTTGAGAAATTCTCCGACAGATATTCTGGCCAATTAAGTAGTTCTTTTATGCATCATCAACAGTCCTTAGCAGAGAAAATATGATATTTGTTCACATTGCTAAAACAAACTTTCCCGGAGTTTATGAACATGTAGGAAATTTTCTTTGTTGCATTTCACAAAACACAATGTAAAGTGTTTTGCACTTTCAGTTATACCTGTTCTTCACAGCATTACAGTCCATGCCTTTACCTTGAACTTGTCTTTGTAACATAAAAGTACACTGATGAGTTTTTCTATGTACCATGATGATAGCTCTTTGTATTAAAGTCTTTTTCATTTATGACCCTTATATGTGCTTATCCTTTTGATGGAAACACTAATCTGAATATTTACTTAGTGAACTTAACTGGTTGCCATGCATTTTTTTTAGTATCTATGATAAACATGTATAGGGTTAAATCTGTAGTAATGCTGTTACTCTCTAAGTCCTTTCCTGTACTTTCAAGTTTAAATTTGATTAAATTATTACATTTTAAATCAATTTATAAAAGAAATTTGGAGACAAAAGCGTCATATAATTTTTATAGATTTTTTTATTCAACTTGTAATTGTGACAACATCTTTTTATTTGTTACATGGATCTGTACATAGGAACACACATAAGAATGATCAATATCAGAAAACAAAAGCAAACTGGATCAAAATGTTCAAGAGAGAAAATAACCAAATGATAGCCAGGATATGCACCAAATCACGCACAACATGAGATACAATGGACCACTGTAATACTGAGACAGACAACACTTTCTATATATATATGGCAACACTAATAGTCTATTGTCAATAATTGATAAACAAAAATGATATATCAGATGTGTTTATAAGTAAAACTAAATGCATAGGATAGTATTCAACCTTTTCTCACTTGATAGGACTGTTAATTGTTAACTGTTTATTTAAACTGACTATAGAGGCTTCCTCATTTGGGAATTTTCTTTACAAACTGATAGTTTCTAATGAATGGCATTTTTTGCACATCAAATATTCCATTAAAACTTTGAAATATCTTCTAAGAATCCATTGAATTTTCAAAATTAATTCTGCATTTTTAAATAATGAAGATAAAATGTAAATTTCTGGTACAAGAAGTTGAAAAATATGACAATGCAGTAAATAACAGTCCCCCACCAAAATTCATATGCCAAGAACATACTGCAAGTGAACCCATGCCCTAAGTAAGAAAGTTCCACTGGTGAGTAGTGTAGGAGAAAGAGCCTGGAGAATTCATTTCATTGATGCAGGTCAAAGGACATACTGTACATCAGACTACTTTTCACACCTGACATACTGTCTCACCAAGGTATTAAATTACTATAATTAGTAGTGTTGAAGATAGGGCTCAGCGAACTATTTTCTTTGATAGAGGTCAAAGGTCAAATAAGGTCAGAGTTACATATATGTGACATGTCACAAACACTCTCACCAAGGTGAATCCATATACAAGTATAAATCTCTTATGATAAGTAGTGTGGAAGACAGGGCTCTGATAAACTTTTACTTTAGAGTAGATCAAACGTCAAAATGCACATCAAACTGACCTACCAGGTACTTTCGATACATGACATCTCACCAAGGTGGACCAATATCCCAAGTATAATGATTCAACGATCAGTAGTGTAGAAGACTTGGTGGGGGACTAATTACTCTTTTTTGGACACACATATTGCAATCTAGAACATACAAACTGAAGTGCTAGTAGTTGTAAGATAAGCATTGTAAAACTTTCTTCTAGATATCAGTATGGACTCAGTAGAATTCTGATCCCAAATGAATAGTAAACTGGACTTGATGAGCAATCTTGTAAATGCCAATGGGTGATAAAAAAGAACAGTTATCTGATACCAAAGAGTGGAACAGATAAGTGGTCTTCTAAATTATGAAATTTAACTGCACCAAGCTTAAAAAGTACAGATAAACATCTTCCAGTTAACTGGTTTGTACCACCAGGGTCCAGACTGATACTAGATAGACACAAGAGAGCGACTGACTACATACTCCCTGGAGAAGTTTTCGGGAGCATAAAAAAGCAACAGTGCAATGTTGGAAGGAAGTTCTGTACATAACACTGCAGGATCCAAATTATATTACAAAGACTATAAATGAATAAAAACAGTGGAAGCTTCTTGGATAAATGCTCTATAACAGCTACATGTCCTGTGGTGATAAATGCACCATGCATAGACTACCACGTACATGAATTTTAACTTGGCAACATGGAGTGATAATTACTCTAATAGGGTACCTGTATGTCACTGATACATAAACTACATTTCAATAGGTCAAACGAGAAGAGATATCATAATGTATGTATAAATTTAAGCAATTGTTGACATTTGATGAAATATCAATTTAAAAATGCTTTACAACAATTTTTACTAAAATATTCACAATTATAACTCATGAACTACACAGCTGTTAAGCTGCGTTTTGTTCTACATACAAGTGTCTAGTCTGTCAACTTGATTCTGGACATTATTGGACCTGTATGACCGATACAATGTCTTTAGGTACCAGAGAGTGTCTTTTATGTCAGTGGTATGGTAAATACCCTTCAATTTTGATGGCAGTAATTACATCACAAGCAATACTTTTCATGAATTATCATCTGAAAAATTTCTTAAAAATGCAGATATATATCAACATAGGTAAAAATATTTTACTTTTTTGTCATTAATACAGTTTGATTGAAATTCAGATTAATTGTAATATAGTGTTACCATCAAATTGAAGGATATTTGTCATACTTTGGTATCAATGCATATAGCAATCTACAACAAGAAAGCACACTGTAAAGAACATCACATAATAAAAATATTTGATAGATATTAAGCTCAAAAGGTAATCAATTTTCTAAAGACCATTAAATAATGCTTCAAATAAAATGTCATTATTAAATGACTTGGTCAGGAAGAAATCTGAAATTTGTACACTGTACTTATCTATGTACCTTATTAAGATTTCTTTCATTGAACAACCTCCTTCATTCCTCTTGATTTGAAATCTATCAAATGTCTCATGTGTGATGAACAAGAAATATAGTATAATAAAAACAAATGCACAACAGAGAAAGGATATATTAATGAGACTTAATTGTATACAAGACATGTAAACACCAGTACATGACTGACTTTAGTCAAGAAGACCAACTGTACAATATTTTATAGGCTATGAACAACATCTTGACAGAAAAAGTCAGGAAAGTCATTTTAACCACACAGCACAATATATTGGCACTTATTGTCTAGTAAATAAAACCCATTTTAATCAAATTTTCTTTAAATGTACACCTATAACATGCATGGATATCAACTGTACACTGTTCAAATCATTCTCACAAGGAAAGGATACTTCCTCTATCATCTAAACTATGACTAATATCAAATGAGAAAGTTTATTCTTCTAGCTTTGAATAATCTAAAACACCTCCAATTCATTTTTCAATCTATACTAAAAAAGTGACATACAATTCTTAATGATTGGAGGAATGTATGTTTGTTGTTTGTCATAAAATTTCAAAGTTATATCTTAGAGAATCGGCCAATAGAGCATTGCTTTCAATTAAAATTTTGAAAAATAGCTGTTCTGGAACAATTGAATATTTTACGTCTGTCAAGAAATTATCTATTATTGAATATTTTTAAAAATAAAAAGACAAACCAAATTTGAAAAAAATAGAGAGAAAATTATGAAGGACACTCCAGAATTTTGTATTAAAAAAAAAAGTTTTTCAGTACCTTGAAAGTAT